GCACCGGAAGTGGCGGTGCTGGAAGCGGAAGTGCCATGGTCTGCGGACGCACCGCACCTTCGTAAAGGCTCGGACTCTCCGCCAGGTGATGGTGACGCATGCTGATCTCGTAGCCGGGTCGATGTAGCTGCGGCAACAGATTCAACCACAGGGACATCTTGTGGCCCCTGTAATGTGACCGCATTTCCGTGCTACGACCAGCCTCCAGGTACAACTGATTTATTGAATCGTACGAATCCCAGAACGGCGGACTGCTCGGTAGCCCATCGGATCCCGATGTCAACGGGCTGACGCCGTTAGGATCCCTGAAACATCCCATGCAATACCGACATAGAACGCTGTACACGACTCATTGAAACGATTTCGGGGGTGGACATTGCCCTCTCGATCGAACGAGGTGGGATTCGAGGTCGTATGTCTTTGTACCTCGATACTCTTGCTATTATACTTGGGAGCTGGGTGCGGTCATTCGCTATTGTGAACTTATTTGTATATTTTAGATCTGACGAGTAAGCTGTTGGTTAGGTTGAGAATTTTCGTAGTCTTTTGTAACCTGTTTATGGAGAAAATCGTATCGCAACAATTATTGCAGTGTTTCTGACTTAAGTCCAATGAAATCATATACTAGATATTTTGTTATATAGCCTTATTTTAATGGAGCAGCTTAATTTTTATTGCTATTAAAAAGTTGATAAATCTTCAGAAAATGCATTAGCAAAAAATGATTGAGATGCTAAGAGATGTTATTGAGACACTCTTCAGACCTTGAAAATTGAAGCACTTGACAAAATTTAAAGATGTACAAATTTGAACACAAAAATTTTTAGCAGAAATTTTCTAAGTACACTGTTACATATAAATTCGCCTGAATTCGTTCTTTATCGACTCAGACAATCTACAGTCTAGTAATTAAAGTAAAATTGCGGATTACAAGCATATTCGCAATTTCCTACAAAAGTCTCCTGTCCCCGTCCACTGCAAAACCGAGAAGTTCCGCTGACCGCAATTACCGACAGCTAACAAGAAACTGGTAGCGAATCATCGTAATTGTAAGTTGGATAGTTGAAAGTTCACGCTGACGGTACCACTGTTCTTGATCTCTATTATCGAAATCCCTGTACGATGTCTCAATTCCACAATTGTCGTTTGCACTTTTGCGCGGAAGAACACTTGCTACGTGAATCCCCATTGAACGATGAAGTCGATCAACTTTAAATTACGGGAATTAATGTGGATGGTCAGCGAGTCTACCGACTGATTGCTTCGACTTCGGGCTATTGGAAAAGCGAGATGTTCGTAATTTGAAAAGTTCTACCGGGAGAACTTGTTAAAGTTTCGCGATAGACTTACTGCAACGATGTTAATTAAGACTCTAACGTCTCCTTGCTACATCGATGGGAACGTTAGAGAGTCGTTTTACAAATTAATTAATTGAAGACAGGTGATTTCGAAAATCCGGAACTCGGAACTCTCGAAAGGCGGTATAAAATTACACGGATTAACCTTTTGGACTCGACTTTATTTTACGGAATTTTACTGTTCAAATTGAAATGGTAAATGAGTGTAGAGTGAATCACTGTAGTGACGCCATGTCAACTGCGAGATTCACAAAACCCACTACAGTGGCGCGTCGAACCCTAATAATACAATTTTATCGTAATATTTCCTATGCTCCACAATAAATAAAATATAGATTTAGCAAAAAAGTTCGGAACCTTGGCAAACCTTCATTTAACAAATTTTCAAAAATAACAGTTTGGATAATGAAATGTAAGACCCTCATTTCTCTCGCAATTTTTGATCCGATTTCGAATTCCACGCACAAAGGAAAACTTATCGAAAATAAAAATTACGAAACGATGGAACACGGTCTAAGAAACTAATCATTTTAACAATCGGTTCCATTAATACGTTGGTTGTGATTTGTGGACGTCGAAATTGGTTTCAACGACGAGAAAGAAAAATCGATTAATCTAAACGTTTCCGAGTTAAATTGCTTTAATAAAACGGATGATGCTGACCCGAATGTTGGAAATTAAAGTGAACCATAGTGACAAATGAAATCAGAGCGGTTATCTTTGAATGTTATTACAGCAATTTTCTTTAACGATAATTGCGTTCGGGTTCCTTGCGATATTAACTATTCAGAACCTGAAATCTTCGGACAAACTTCTCATTTCGATTCAGATTAAAATTTGATGGACTTTCATTTTAGTTGCTGGATCGGTGCTAGCTTTATTTTTCGATTTAACGTTTTTAGGACGAATAATTTCAATGACTTGAATAACAAATTCGTGCGTTTTAGTATTTTTCTTCAGCAATTTTTTTGTTAGACAAATCGATCACTTTTCGACCTGCGATTTTGCTCTAATCATAATATGTTATAGTCCACGTGAAATTAGGGGAGGTTTAAGTCATCATTTTGCCAGTTTCGAATTTATTAAAAAATGGCAAGTCTTCAAAGTTTGCAATTTTTACCCACTTTTGCGAAAACAGGTTTTACTTACGAATTTTTTTCTCAGAAACTGCTCAACCAATTTAGCTAAATTCTTTTTTATTTTATTCACGAAGGATTGAACTGTTATAAAATATTTTTTTTGGTTTTGTCCATTTGTTTCATAATAACGAAAAATTTTAAGGAAAACCAGTCAGAAAAAGAACACTAGTTGTGACACACCCTGTATTAGTTTATAAACAGGCTTCACTTATGAATTTTTTTCTCAGAAACCACTCAACCAATTTAGCTAAACTCTGTTTTGTTATATTCACGAAGGATTGGACTATTTTTAAATATTTTTTCTAATTCCGTCAAATTGTTATAGAACTCCGAAAAATGTAAACAAATTCATTTTCGTGTTCTATTCAATGAGGGATGTAGAGGGTTTAAATTTAAGTTTAAATTTCATTCAAATTTAAATGAAGCTTCCCCTCCATATTTTTTTCGTCATATTCTTTAAATCTTCCCTTTATTTATCGTAGAATGACCCAAAGATAACATTTCGAATAAGAACCTTTCTCTTTACAAACAAGTCTAGCAAAGGATTTATTTCTAAACCCCTCCAATATACCCAAAGAAAATAGCAGTGCACCCTCATCGAATAGCCCGTAAAAATAGTAGGGAATCGAGTTTTAAACAGAGCATAGCCAAAGACTTACAACATTTCGAAAGTTGGCAAAGAAAGGGCTTTGAATGCAAAGGTCCGTTGAATAGCACGTTCAAAACGAGCTGCCACGAACCGGTAGGTAGATAGAGTTTGCAGGGCAAACCCAATCTCCAAGCGGAAGCCGTAGCAGTAAGTTGAACTGCAGGTTCCGGAACAAGGAAAACGCAATCCCGGTGACGGGGGTTAAAGCCGCGGGTAAAAAGCAGGACCAAGAACAAGCTAGAACAGAGAGACTCACCCGCGTCTCACAAAGTTCGCCAAGTAGTGGACCAGCAGTTTAGACAGGTTCTCATCGACCAGAGTGTAATTGGTCGGGGCGAACAAAACGGACACGACTTCTCCACGAAGGAGAGGTATCCCCAGGAGATAAGGGACCTCCTCGCCCCTCTGACTTGGTCGATCGCCAAGTTGGAAATGCAGGAAATAACCACGTCCCCCGGAGGCCGAGTGCAGCAGAGCCAGCCTTAAAAGAGGCGCGGCAACTTGACCATCCCCGAGGAGGGAAAGAAGACCCTCGCAAATCGCTGATGGACTCTGTTCACCCCTTTCCCAATCCGTGTACTCGTTACGGAGGGTCGAGTAAATTTCGTGAAGGTGGTAACGATACGTGTTTCGTACGTAGGTGCGCAGGATGCGATCCCTCCGGGTCTCGTTCAGGCCGTTCTGTAATTGAAAGAAAATAGAAATTTAGAAATTAGAAATTCTCGAGTTTCGGATGTAGAAGTGATTACGAGTTTAACGTTGCAGTAGTCGTGATAATAATAGTGCTGTTAGGGTGCTGTAGAATTGAAAGTGAATTGAGAGAAATTAGATTTTAGGGAGTTTCTGGAATTTTGGAATTTGGAAGGGTGGAAGAGGGATTTAGGATTTTGGTGATTTAGCAATTTGGCGATAGAGGGGTTTGAGAGTTTGGAAATTTGGGGATGGGGAGATTTGGGATTTGGGAGATTTGGGATTTGGGAGATTTGGGATTTGGGAGATTTGGGATTTGGGAGATTTGGGATTTGGGAGATTTGGGATTTGGGAGATTTGGGATTTGGGAGATTTGGGATTTGGGAGATTTGGGATTTGGGAGATTTGGGATTTGGGAGATTTGGGATTTGGGAGATTTGGGATTTGGGAGATTTGGGATTTGGGAGATTTGGGATTTGGGAGATTTGGGATTTGGGAGATTTGGGATTTGGGAGATTTGGGATTTGGGAGATTTGGGATTTGGGAGATTTGGGATTTGGGAGATTTGGGATTTGGGAGATTTGGGATTTGGGAGATTTGGGATTTGGGAGATTTGGGATTTGGGAGATTTGGGATTTGGGAGATTTGGGATTTGGGAGATTTGGGATTTGGGAGATTTGGGATTTGGGAGATTTGGGATTTGGGAGATTTGGGATTTGGGAGATTTGGGATTTGGGAGATTTGGGATTTGGGAGATTTGGGATTTGGGAGATTTGGGATTTGGGAGATTTGGGATTTGGGAGATTTGGGATTTGGGAGATTTGGGATTTGGGAGATTTGGGATTTGGGAGATTTGGGATTTGGGAGATTTGGGATTTGGGAGATTTGGGATTTGGGAGATTTGGGATTTGGGAGATTTGGGATTTGGGAGATTTGGGATTTGGGAGATTTGGGATTTGGGAGATTTGGGATTTGGGAGATTTGGGATTTGGGAGATTTGGGATTTGGGAGATTTGGGATTTGGGAGATTTGGGATTTGGGAGATTTGGGATTTGGGAGATTTGGGATTTGGGAGATTTGGGATTTGGGAGATTTGGGATTTGGGAGATTTGGGATTTGGGAGATTTGGGATTTGGGAGATTTGGGATTTGGGAGATTTGGGATTTGGGAGATTTGGGATTTGGGAGATTTGGGATTTGGGAGATTTGGGATTTGGGAGATTTGGGATTTGGGAGATTTGGGATTTGGGAGATTTGGGATTTGGGAGATTTGGGATTTGGGAGATTTGGGATTTGGGAGATTTGGGATTTGGGAGATTTGGGATTTGGGAGATTTGGGATTTGGGAGATTTGGGATTTGGGAGATTTGGGATTTGGGAGATTTGGGATTTGGGAGATTTGGGATTTGGGAGATTTGGGATTTGGGAGATTTGGGATTTGGGAGATTTGGGATTTGGGAGATTTGGGATTTGGGAGATTTGGGATTTGGGGTGAGTGGAATTTGGGAGATTTGGGATTTGGGAGATTTGGGATTGGGGGGATTTGGGATTTGGGAGATTTGGGATTTGGTGTATTGGGGTGAGTGGAATTTGGGGAATTTTGGATTTGGGAGATTTGGGATTTGGGGTGAGTGGAATTTGGGAGATTTGGCATTTGAGAGATTTGGGATTTGAAAATTTATCGATTTGGGGATTTAGAGATTTGGTCTGCACCAAATGTAACAAAATCAAGAAACCTAAAGATTCACTGTTCGAACACATTTTGATCCACATAACGATGTGTACATAGCACATAAATGAACAATTGCACCTAAATAATACTTTCATAATCCACACCAAGTAAAAGTAAAGCAAGAATCGCAAAGATTCACCGTTCAAACGCAGTTTGACCTACGTAACGATGTGTACGTAGCACGTAAATGGACAATTGTACCTAGATCATGATACGTCCGATTGTTATCAAATTGCCAAGGAGCTACGGAAATGAGCTTTACATTGTATCCATAGACCGTGGCCATTGAATTGTCGATAATGTCCGGCACGATCAATGACCACGTTTTGCAAGCGTGGACCTGCTAATTAGTAATTTATTGGGTTCGTGTCAATTATCGGCACACCAGCTGCATACAGATCGTTCGAATCTCGTTAGAGCTGCTACCGTGATTAAAAATAATTTAACGCAGTTCAAGCAACGTATTCAACACCGTTCTGTACGTTTGCACCAGTTTCTTCGCGAGTTTCAATTAAAATGTAGATTTAATTTTGACGCGGACAAAAGGTGCTGGGAAATTTAAAGGGGAAAAGTAGACCGGCGACCTTATTTCGCGGAAAATGTTCAACACTCTGTTTACTAAACTTCCATCATTTTTGCAAGTGAGAATTTTTGAAATCTGTACACGTGATATGTGGAGTTTAATATACACAAAATCGTGAATAATGTTAAACGTCTTAGTGTGTATGTTATTCTGAAGTGTTCCGACGAAGTATTCCCTTGACACTTTCAGCGAATGGAAAGACTTTCTGTGAACAAAAATTAGAATCCTTAACACTTCGATGCCTACGCAGTCAAATGTCGCCAGAGGCATTTTTGAAGAATTCGAAGAAACTTTACATAAATTCATGAAATAATTCAACATGTGACACATAAAACAAACAAGAGCATTTAATACAACGAAATTAATATTTTACGTTTGTGTAATAGTTATTAAAGCAATCGCCTGCGTTCGATCATCACACGAAGGGCACCGGCCAATGACCTTTGGTAGCATCACACACTCGTGTGAGCGGATGCTAACGGTTAGCCCGGCCATCACACACACGTGTGAGTGGCCACTAAAGCGTTAAGGGTTAACTAACTACTAAGTTAACAAGAGGGTTAACAAAGGAGGAAATCGAATTGCTTCTAATCCCTTCACGCGTCTGCTTACCATCAAATCTTCGTCGGTGAGATTGACCCAAGCTTCCTCGGACGTTAAACCGAGCAGCAAATCTCGATCGGCGAAATTGGCGAACTCGGTGCCAGGTCCAGGTACCAAGGGCATCAGTCCCGACGATGAGGCAGTGGGCTGGAAATTCTTGACAACAAAAGAGAAAGAGATTGAACGAAACGCGATCGTGATAAATCGATCTCGAGCTCTCTGCAATTAAGTCAACGGCAAGTTGCGGCGACTATCGATTTTCAACGGGTCGCCGATCGCTGGACTTCCCAAGTTAATAGCAATTACAGAGAGTATATTTTATGACTTTTAATTAAAAGTTCTACGACGAACAATTTTGCTCGTCGATACTCTCGATTGAGTTTCGAAACAAAGAACAGGAAAAAAGGGGAAGAAAAATAGGAAAAAAAAAGAGGCGTAGGAAATGCGATCAACGGGGCTACACAGAGGCTAGGACTTAATATCGGTTTCACAGAACACCGATTCTCTGGCTCGACATCTGTCAGTCGGTTGTCGGTTCAATTAGCAAGCTCATCGCTTACACGTCGTCTCGTCCACTCTTCTATGGTCGAAATATCTAACGATACGTCGAGCGACTGATAGCGCGGAATGATAAAGGATTTTAACCCTTTGACTGGTATCGACGCCTACGGCCGTTCAACCTTTTCCCTTAGAAATCATTTTACTACTCGTTTTCAAGGATTGTTGATAGAACTACTAACATTCACATTTTAGCTTTCATATTTTATATTACAAGAGGTATGACTGGATAAGGTGGTTAAAGGTGCCTTAGCCTAAATTGATCAATGAACATGAATTAGTAGACTGTTTGAACGAAATCATTTCTGCAAAAATGTAGTTATATTATTATCTTAATATTTCAGAAACTGTGTTCATACTTTTATGGTTCTAAACTTGTTAAAATTATTAATATACAATTTTTCAGATTGTTTATAGAAATGTAGTCTATAGAAGTAGTTTGTAGAAGAAACTATAGGATTATTTTTCAAAATGATCCTTCTGTGATTATTCTTGAAACTGACTATGTTGTAATCATTCTTGTTACTGATTATTTTTTAATTGCTTCAGTAAATGATTGTTTTGTGATCACTCCAGTAACTGATTATTTTGCAAATATTTTTGTAATTGATTCCTTGTATTGTTTCTGTAAATGATTATTTTGTGATCACTCCAGTAACTGATTATTTTGCAAATATTTTTTTAATTGATTTCTTGTATTGTTTCTGTAAATGATTATTTTGTGATCATTCCAGTAATTGATTATTTTGCAAATATTTTTGTAATTGATTTCTTGTATTGTTTCTGTAAATGATTATTTTGTGATCACTCCAGTAACTGATTATTTTGCAAATATTTTTTTAATTGAATTCTTGTATTGTTTCTGTAAATGATTATTTTGTGATCACTCCAGTAACTGATTATTTTGCAAATATTTTTTTAATTGAATTCTTGTATTGTTTCTGTAAATTATTATTTTGTGATCACTCCAAAAACTGATTATTAAAATGTTATGGTATAAATGTTATTACAGTAGCAGTTATTATAAGCATTGTTTAATGAATTGTAAGTACCTGATTGACAGGTTGCGGCATGACAGCCCCATCGATGAAAGGAGCAAATCCAGAAGTGAATCTCGGAGGATCCAGCTGCACCGCGAGAAGCTCTTCCAGATTTCGCAAACGAAGGCACGGTGCAATATCGTCAGCTTCCACGTCACTAGGACATCCGGTCTGATCGGCGACTCGACGTTTCACCATTAAAGGATCACGTTGTATAGCCCATGGTGACAAAGCTGACCCACCTAGCAAAACCACCCTTTCGACTAACTCTGCAAAACAGAAAAATTGTTTAATTACTATCAAAATATCAGAATTTCATGTAAACTGTAATGTTTCATACAAATTATATTAGCACAATTTTACATAAACTGCGTCAGCTCAATCCAGTCAATTAATAAGTCAGTTAATCTTCAGATTAAACTAACATTACTGATACTCCCATATTCCGAACCTGAAAGTAGATCGATTCGCAAATGAAATTTTAAAAACACAGCAACGGTTACAGATATGGTGGAATCCGAGGCAGTATGAATGCGAGCGAAAGGGGTGAGAGGGTAAAACGCATTGTGGAAAGGCATTAAGAACGACACGAGGTTGGTTCGTTAGCGGGATGAAGGTGCAATCTAGAAACGCTCCTTCTTTACACCCGGTGTTTCACCTCCCTCTTTCTGCCGTCGCACCCCTTATTCTCAGTCGCGAGATCAGAGAAGACTGCACTCGAGGAAGCTTATTAAGGTGTCTAGTGGCCGTCGACAACGGGGACGGTGATGACAGCGTCATCCTCGAGGAATATCCCTCTCGACCGTGCACACGCATGTGTCCTGACATCTTCGCTTCCCGTGACACGAAACGCCGGAACGACTCGAGAAATCGCTGTGAAGCGAAATTGCAATAACGGAGGCCATATATTCGCGGAATGAATACTGGCCAACCGTATCTCGTTTCAATGTTTGCAATTTCGAGACACCGACCGCTGTTCATTTTCGTGCTTGCTTTAGATATCTTGATGACGGAAATACTTGCGCGCGTTGTGTGGCCTGTTCTGGCAAACATGTTGAATGGACCGTGCAAAATGGCGGCGCGGAATGTGGACTGTGACGGTAGTTCACTGGATCTTAGGGAAATAATTCTGCGGCATTATTAGTTCGTTGACGTTAACCCCTTGCAGTATGATTTAGTTGTCTGGGGTGAAACTATTCGCTGTGATATCAACGAAAGATAAAATCCACTGATTTATTTTTTTAATATGGCAGAACTATTTATTCCGTGATATTAGAACGAAAGATAAAATGTGCTGATTTATTTATTTAATATATTAGACTATTGCTGTGATATTAAATATATTCTTTAAATTTAATTAATATAATTTAAAAATTTTTTTAAATTTTGTTTTCATTTATATTGTACTTTATTTTTAGATTTAAACCGGACGTGTTCTGTGCTTGTGTTAGAAATAAACGATTTGAGCTTTTTTCATGGGGAGAGGAATTGCTTTCCTAGATAACACGCTGCTTCGAAAAAATTGCAATTTTTGCAGTTTTTCACCTCCGTGACATTCGCCTCTTTCTTCGCTATTCGCGCAAATTGCAATTTTTTTCAAAGCGAATGTCAGATACAAAACTATTTCATCTAGTCGCAAAAAAAACTTCGTTCGCTTTTAAAAAAGTAATACTAACTATCATAAAATGCTTTGCTCATTGCAAATAATTTTAGTGTCTCAATTTTTAGTAATTTAATATGTACAGTAAATTTTATTATTATGTAATTTTATTCTGTAACTAATATAATAAAGATATATAATAATAAACTTTATTATACTTATTTTTTGACTGACAATTTTTCACAACGTTAAGGAAGAAGTAACTGAACCACACTAATTTAATTCAAGTAATTAAACAATACTCATTTACCTTGAACAATTATTCTCGTTTAGTTTAAGTAATTAAACTCATTTACCTTAGGTAATTAAACTATTCTCATTGACGTTAAATAATTACACTCGTTTACTTTAAGTAACTAAACTCATTTCCCTCAGGTAATCAAACAGTACATTTAGCTAAATTATTTGAACTCGTTTGGTAAATTTTAAATAAATGTTTTAAACTAACATTTTCGTTTAGCATGAATTACCTTTCGCCATGGGTGAAACGGCTAAAAAATTGGCGAGCGCAGCTCCAGTTCCATGGCCAAAGAGTGTAAGTCGATCAGGATCGCCTCCGAAAGCACCGAGATTTTCATGCAGCCAGTGAAGTCCTGCCACCAAGTCCATCAATCCATAATTTCCTTGCGCACTACCCTTTGGACCAGTTTTCAGGAAACCTGCAAGCAAATTGCGCTGGTTAGTACAACATGATACAAAAAAGCAAATCAATACTGTGACACCTTCAGAACAGTGTACAGGGTGTTTTCGAAATGGTGGTTCAAAGTGGGTGAATCAAAAACTGTGATGAAATATTGCAAGATTTTTAGTAAACCTCGTTACTACCTAACCTAACCTAACCTTGTTAGTACCAAACTTAGCCTAACCTTATTAGTACTTAATCTAACCTAGCCTAACCTTGTTAGTACTCGACCTAAAGTAACATAACCTTGTTAACACTTAGCCTAATCTAACCTAACCTTGTTAGTACTCGACCTAAACTAACCTAACCTTGTTAGTACTCGACCTAACTTAGCCTAACCTTGTTAACACCTAGCCTAGCCTTGTTAGTACTCGACCTAACTTATCCTAACCTTGTTATTACTCGGCCTAACCTAGCCTAGCCTTGTTAGTACTCGACCTAACTTATCCTAACCTTGTTATTACTCGGCCTAACCTAGCCTAGCCTTGTTAGTACTCGACCTAACTTATCCTAACCTTGTTATTACTCGGCCTAACCTAGCCTAGCCTTGTTAGTACTCGACCTAACTTATCCTAACCTTGTTATTACTCGGCCTAACCTAGCCTAGCCTTGTTAGTACTCGACCTAACTTATCCTAACCTTGTTATTACTCGGCCTAACCTAGCCTAGCCTTGTTAGTACTCGACCTAACTTATCCTAACCTTGTTATTACTCGGCCTAACCTAGCCTAGCCTTGTTAGTACTCGACCTAACTTATCCTAACCTTGTTATTACTCGGCCTAACCTAGCCTAGCCTTGTTAGTACTCGACCTAACTTATCCTAACCTTGTTATTACTCGGCCTAACCTAGCCTAGCCTTGTTAGTACTCGACCTAACTTATCCTAACCTTGTTATTACTCGGCCTAACCTAGCCTAGCCTTGTTAGTACTCGACCTAACTTATCCTAACCTTGTTATTACTCGGCCTAACCTAGCCTAGCCTTGTTAGTACTCGACCTAACTTATCCTAACCTTGTTATTACTCGGCCTAACCTAGCCTAGCCTTGTTAGTACTCGACCTAACTTATCCTAACCTTGTTATTACTCGGCCTAACCTAGCCTAGCCTTGTTAGTACTCGACCTAACTTATCCTAACCTTGTTATTACTCGGCCTAACCTAGCCTAGCCTTGTTAGTACTCGACCTAACTTATCCTAACCTTGTTATTACTCGGCCTAACCTAGCCTAGCCTTGTTAGTACTCGACCTAACTTATCCTAACCTTGTTATTACTCGGCCTAACCTAGCCTAGCCTTGTTAGTACTCGACCTAACTTATCCTAACCTTGTTATTACTCGGCCTAACCTAGCCTAGCCTTGTTAGTACTCGACCTAACTTATCCTAACCTTGTTATTACTCGGCCTAACCTAGCCTAGCCTTGTTAGTACTCGACCTAACCTATCCTAACCTTGTTATTACTCTGCCTACCTTAACCTAACCCTGTTAGTACTCGATCAAACTTATCCTAACTTTGTTAGTACTCGATCTAATTTATCCTAACCTTGTTAGTACCTGACCTAACCTTGTTAGTACTCAACCTAAGCTAACCTAACCTTGTCAGTACAAAGTTTACTATCCCTATTATAGTTAACAGAAGAGAAAAATGCAGAATATTTCACCATATCTCAAATTATAATTAATACACAAAGAGAAATAAAAATTATTATCTGCATAATGCATTAATTAGCCCCTGTCTCCCTTGTCACTCAAAATTCAGGACAAATTACTTTGTAAAATATTGAATTACGTGGGTGCTGCAAATTGCAGTTCAAACGTAATAAGCATAAATCACATTTGCAATACAAATAACGCAGGTACTGCCGCAGGACAGTAAATAGCGGTGTGTTCTAGGACACGTTATAATATTGATCATTAACGATACGGTTATTTAATTTGCGGATTTAACGCGTGGAATATCACAATGAGCACAGACGTGTGCAAATTGACGCGTTGTAATAACAACTGTGATTTAGAATGATTCTAAGTTCAATTTGCTTTTCGTGATTTTGGGTAAACGACCAAACTTTACGAATATAAAGAAACAGTTATTGGAAGCACTTTTCTTCTCCATTTGAAATACTATTTTCTTCAAGCCTCTATAAAACAATAAGGAGTACTCTAAAAGTTCTAAATCCCGTAAAACTGTAAAATTCGAAGCAACGGTCTCAGCGACAGACGGAAAAGTTTGTGAATCGTATCTTCGAATTTCAACGAGCCGCTACAAAACTTAGCGGTGCCCTGTTTTCAGGCAAAATTCGCGAGCCGTTTAAATAAATTCTCGTAGTTTAAGAGCAAGCACGGAATTCCGCTTAAAATTTAACAAAGACCAAGCAGACCCAGCGTTTTAATTCGAGTCACAGGATTCCGGAAAGACGGTTAATCCTGAACTGTACCAACGCCAAGTTTCTTATCGCGAGCATACAATGATCCTTTATGCTTTCCCACGCGGTTATTTATGCTGGATTTCGAAATGGTTTCTCGTAAATAGGATTATTTTAATAACGGCAGTGATGCGGGAAAATTCATTTCAATTGACGAATAATAGATATACAATTTATAATGTTATAATAAAATTTTTCACTCCGTAATTTCCACGCGCTGTATTTCCACGCGGCGTAATTTCCACGCGCCATCATTCCACGCTCCGTAATTTCCACGCGCCGTTTTTCCACGCGTCGAAATTTCCACGCGCCGTATTTCCACGCGTGGTATTTCTATATAGCGAAATTTCTACGCGCCGTAATTCCCACGCGCCATAATTCTCCGCGCCGTATTTCCACGCGTCATAATTCCACGCGCCATATTTCACGCGTCGAAATTTCCACGCGCCGTATTTCCACGCGTGGTATTTCTATATACCGAAATTTCTACGCGCCGTAATTCCCACGCGCCATAATTCTCCGCGCCGTATTTCCACGCGTCATAATTCCACGCGCCATATTTCCACGCGTTGTATTTCTACGCTCCGTATTTCCACGCGTGGTATTTCTACGCGTCGAAATTTCCACGCGCCGTTTTTCCACGCGTGGTATTTCTATATGGCGAAATTTCTACGCGCCATAATTCTCCGCGCTGTATTTCCACGCGCCATAATACCACACACCGTAATTTTCACGCGCCATAATTCCACGCTCCGTAATTTCCACGCGCTGTATTTCCATGCGCCGTAACTCCAACGCGCCGTAATTCCCACGCGCCGTATTTCCACGCGCCGAAATTTCTATGCGCCAAAATTTCTACACGCCGTAATTTTCACGCGCCATAACTCCACACTCCATAATTTCCAAGTAATTTATATTAAGAAATAGAAATTGTTTTTAGGCTCGAAACTGTCGCTCTCGCGTCTGCGCGTAATCTCGGACTCCGATTGGTCCGCATTTTTTCTTAATAATTCAAAAACGAAGCTTCAAACCCCATTTGTGGGACACCCTGTATAAGACTGGAGTAGATCTGGTTTACGTCTGACTACTGCCATCCGTTACTACTTGCAGTGAACAGTACACGAGAAAGCACCTACAAATTAACTTGATTTACATAATTACCCTTTGTGTACATCTGAATATTACATTTCCTTTGTGATAACGTATTCCTCGTTGTTCACGCCACATAATATTAATCCAATTAACATCTTCCTTCAAAGAAACAAATCATCGCTATTCCCCTCTATAAGAATACTGAAAATCGTCACATTTTCTCAGAAAATTCTTGTGCACCAAATGTTCATTTCGTTCAAATGTACATTTCATTGGAACGAATTTCAAAATTAATGAAGAAATTTGCAAACTGATGAACATTTCACAAACATATAATTTATAAAAAGATTGAAGACAGAAAACATGACAGATCACAAATAAAATTTAAGTGTAATTTACCTTTGGAACGTTTTCAATTGCAAAGGAAGAATAAGAAAACCCTGATTCGACTGCAAATTACGAGTAACAGCCAATAGATCCTTTCACTATACCGCACTATGTATTCTTGTTACATAAAGAAGTGTAAAGGTTCAAGTCCTCGCCGTTTCTTACTTGTACTTCTGGCTCTTTCGTCTCACGAGCATGGAAAGCTTTGTCGAACAAACAGATTGTGCCCGATCTAACGAACTTACCGTAACACGATTGTCTTCTTGCTCCAATGAAGATGAATGCCCTCCCGGCTCTGTACTTCGTCAATTTACCCTTTGCTTCCATTTGGTTAACCCGTGGATTACTGCGATTGGATTACTCGCGGCTCATTGTATCTCACGAGAACGGATCTTACTTCTTGGTGTAATTTCAACGCGAAAGATTTATTAGCCCCTTGTCGTCTCGTTCGTGACGCGGTACAAGTCTTACTCGAATTTCTAGCGTTTCCGGTGAACTTTCAGACCGGTTACAATTTGCATACTCAAGAAATATACAAGACTTCACATTGTAACTTTTGTTTATTTTAATTTTGTTGGGAATAGGTCTTTTATTAGTTTTTGCGCGCATCGAGAGTGATAGATATAAATTCTGGGTCAGCAAACAAATCACTGCGAAGAGGAATTCTGTTAGAAAGATTTCACTTGCACATTTAGGATTCATGTGGAGTTATGGCGCGTGAAAGTTACGGCGCGTAGAAATTTCGACGCGTGAAAATACAGCGCGTGGAAATTACGGAGCGTGGAATTATGGAGCGTGAAAGTTACGGTGTGTGGTATTATGGCGCGTGGAATAATAGCGCGTAGAAATTTCGACGCGTGGAAATTACAGAGCGTAGAATTATGGCGCGTGGGAATTACGGCGCGTGGAAATACAGCGCGTGGAAATTACGGAGCGTGGAATTATGGAGCGTGAGTATTACGGCGCGTGGAAATACAGCGCGTGGAAATTACGAAGCGTGGAATTATGGCGCGTGAACCTTACAGTGTGTGGTATTATGGCGCGTGGAATTATAGCGCGCAGAAATTTCGACGCGTGGAA